TTAAAAAATCAACATGGATTACAACCACCGGTCAGGATTCAGCTAAGTTACTGAATGTGCAATGGGACTTGTGCAACGAGACTTCCCCCCTTCTCCCCTCTGGCCCCCGCTCCCCAAATCTGCTCTGGAGGGTTGCGAGGAAGCTGAGAACATGTTTAGGGAGACCTATGGGTGCAAGGAGGGAAGAGTAGCCAGGACGTCTCGTTGCATGAGCAGATCTCATCCTTTACCCCAGGCACCCCCAAACTCAGCCCTCCAGATGTTTTGGGACTACAATTCGCATCATCCCTGACCACTGGTCCTGTTAGCTAGGGATGATGGGATTTGTAGTCCCAAAACATCTGGAGGGCCAACTTTGGGAATGCCTGCTTTACTCGTATAAGCCCACTTAGTGCAACATTGAATTAAACTCAATATATTTATTCATTTAGCAAACTGATGGGCCACTTTGCAAGACAAATTCTTGCCAATTTTATTATTAAACCCTTCTTTTAAATCATCATGGATTTGTTGGAATAGGATTAATCTTGTCACAGATTTTGCCCAATTCATAATCTGTTTTAATGATCCATTAAAGCTATTAACGCAGGTTAATTCTGTGTCCAGGGCAGCTGTCTACCAGCTCCACCTGGTACGCAGGCTTTCTCTTTTCTGTTGATATATTTCTTCTCTCTTTGGTGACGTGTAAGCAGCTATCTTACTTCAGCAAAGATGGGATTTGGCGAAAGGGCTTGCTCCTCTCTGATCAGCTGCACATATCCCTTCCCGCCTGCCTGACAGGAGGCCTGCCTCACACTTACAAATCCTTTATACTGGGAGATGGCAGAAAAGAGCCCCTTTCCCCCCTCCTCATCCCATCACAGCAGGGTGCACTGAGCTCTTCAAACAAAAACAAGAAAAGCTTTGCCAGAGAAATTTTATTTCCATTTCAGTACAGATTTCTGAAAGCTTCCAGCCGGCAGGCCTTCAGGCCGTGTGTGTGTGCACGCACACACGCACATCGGTGTGCACAACGAGTGAAACATCTGGTGGAGGTTTAGGGTCAAACATATAAATGAGGGAAGCTCAGCACATTTCTCTGAAACGCGCTGCATCGGTGACGTCAATCGAGTGAATCGAGCTCTTCTACACGGCAGTTAAGGGAGCCATTAACTCGAGCTAGTGGTGGGAGTGTTTAGATGGAAAATATGAAGCCAGGAAGTTTCTCCTGATTGCAATGTTGAAGCTATCAAGTAGCATGCACGCCAAAGTGTTTTGGTTTTTTTCTGGTGCGCATCGCCCTCCCTGCACAACCTCCCTCTTGCCATCTGTGATTCTGCAATCTCCTTCGCTCCAGCAGCAGGTCAGGTCCGAACCATGCATTTAGTGTGTTTCTGAGCACAATTCAAAGTGTTGGTGCTGACCTTTAAAGCCCTAAACAGCCTCGGTCCAGTATACATGAAGGAGTGTCTCCACCTCCATCATTCTGCCCAGACACTGAGGTCCAGCACTGAGGGCCTTCTGGCGGTTCCCTCGCTGCGAGAAGCCAAGTTACAGGGAACTAGGCAGAGGGCCTTCTCGGTAGTGGCACCCGCCCTGTGGAATGCCCTCCCACCAGATGTCAAAGAGAAAGATAACTACCAAACTTTTAGAAGACATCTAAAGGCAGCCCTGTTTAGGAAAGCTTATAATGTTTAATAGGTTATTGTATTTTAGTGTTTTGTTGGAAGCCGCCCAGAGTGGCTGGGGAAACCCAGCCAGATGGGCGGGGTATAAAAAATTATTATTATTATTATTATTATTATTAAAAGCACAACCAACATGCATTTCATGCAGGGGACCTCCCCCAAAGAATCCTGGGAACTGCGGTTTCTTAATGGTACTGGGAACTGGAGATTGCTGATTAAACTACAGTTCCCAATATCCATTTGGGGAACTGGTGTGTAGGGTTGCCGTATTTCAAAAAGTGAAAATTTGAACACAAAATTGTAGAACTCCCCCCTCCACCATATCTCAAATCCCATACGTTTGGATTTTCCTGTGCATTTCAGCGATTTCTGCTTCTGAGAGCCAGTGAGAGCCAGTGTGGTGTGGTGGTTAAGAGAGGTAGTCTCGTAATCTGGGGAACCGGGTTCGCATCTCCGCTCCTCCACATTGCAGCTGCTGGATGACCTTGGGCCAGTGTGAGAGCCAGTGTGGTGTAGTGGTTAAGAGCGGTAGTCTCGTAATCTGGGGAACCGGGTTCGCGTCTCCGCTCCTCCGCATGCAGCTGCTGGGTGACCTTGGGCCAGTCACACTTCTCTGAAGTCTCTCAGCCCCACTCACCTCACAGAGTGTTTGTTGTGGGGGAGGAAGGGAAAGGAGAATGTTAGCCGCTTTGAGACTCCTGAAGGGGAGTGAAAGGCAGGATATCAAATCCAAACTCTTCTTCTTCTTCTTCTTCTTCTTATTCTTCTGATGATGATGATGGCTGGTTCCCAGCTATGTCAGGGAAGTTCCAGGCGTATGGCAGCCCTACTGGTGTGTTTTGAGTGCACTTCAAATGTGCAGTGTGGTTGTGCCCTAGCAAGTCAGGGCTATTCAAGGATACACAGCAGTGACACGGCTATTCCAGGAGATTTCTCCCTTTTTATAACATGGCAGTAGAATTTAATCTACTTTGTCCTTTGAGGCCCTTGTTCAACAGACTAGACTGGGTAAAGTTTTCTAGCTATTCACTTTTTTTAAAAAAATGCCAATTTCTCACTTACGTTTTGAATATGAATTTTCAAAGTTCAGATTTGCATTCTGAATGTGAATTATTACCTCAGATTTTCGGACTTGACGTCTTTTGATGTCTTTGGCATTCACAAGCTGCGAAACACCATTGCATGTCACCTATACAACTCTGTCCCCTACTGCACGACAACTGTCCAACTGGCAAATGCTGAAATACAATTTCAAATACAGATAATCAAATATATTTGTAAATTCTAGGTCAATGTCCAAGGGATAGATGCATGTTACCAACATTCTTTGAGGAGAACTTTAGGGGAGCAAATACATTCCTGCCCTTATCCAGACCCGTGAAAAAAATGGACTTCTGTGGAGCTCTCTCTCTTTTTCCAACATAGTTTCTTCCCCCCGCTGCTGCTAGTAGCAACAAGACCCTCTTGCTGGGCCTACTCATACTTTTGTTTTGTTTCTTAAACCCACTCTTGGCTTTTAGCGACCTCATTTCAGGCACAGTCAGCAGCTGGGAAAACAAGGGCGGCTTTTAAAACAGCTGCTGCCTGAGACCAGGCTGGAAGAGAGTAAAAACTGGGAGGGAAACAGGGTTATTTGCCCTTGTAACTGGGTGGTCTGTGTACAATTGGCCATGTCACAGGAAGGAGCTAGTCAAATTGAACATACTCTTCAAAACAAATGACTCCCAGGGAGGTGTTAGCACTTCATTTATCTCCAACTATTGCACCAGTAATAATAATAATAATAATAATAATAATAATAATAATAATAATTTATTTATTATTTATACCCAGCCACCAGTTGCCCTATACACACACACACACACACACACACACACACACACTGCCATCACCACAAGCAAATATTTCTGGGTGCGGCTTGTAGGAGGGCAGCTCAGTATGTGTCGGAATGTAAGATTCAGTTCACCTTTTAAAAATGAATGTGTCTGATTTGCATTTTCCAAAACAAAATTCAAAACACTGAACAGAAACACAGGCATCCCTTATTTTCTTTCCCATTTCATAAAATGTAAATACTGCTCGATTGTAGAAAAAAAAACCTTTGAATTTCAAAACCCTCCGAAATTCGCACGTCTCTGAATTTTGCAATGTAGTTCTCCCACCAAGTGCAAAAGGGCATATGCTGGTGAAAAGTGTGCATATAGAGGCCCATATTAGTGAAAATGACATGCAAAAGTGCTTTATATGAGAGAAAACCGCTTTGCAAAATTTGTTATATTGAATGAAAAATGAATACAAAAATGTGTGTACAGTGGTACCTCGGGTTAAGTACTTAATTCGTTCTGGAGGTCTGTTCTTAACCTGAAACTGTTCTTAACCTGAGGCAGCACTTTAGCTAATGGGGCCTCCTGCAGCCGCCGCACCGCTGCCGCACGATTTCTATTCTCATCCTGAGGTAAAGTTCTCAACCCGAGGTACTACTTCCGGGTTAGTGGAGTCTGTAACCCAAAGTGTTTGTAACCCAAGGTGTTTGTAACCCGAGGTACCACTGTATTAGGAGAAATTCATGGTAAAATGCTAATGAATTTTCATGAGGACTCTTTTTAAAAAACAAACAAGTGCACAAACCTATGTGGAAATATGGAGGATTTAAAATAAGTAAGAAAAATGGGAAACTGAGATGAACAAACATGGGCACATTCACCCTAGTGTCTTCTGTGCAAGATGTAATTTGTCCCTTGGAGAATTAGCAACTACTGAATTTTAGTTCACATGAATTATATTCTGCAAATGAACATTCTTTTCCTGTACATACACACGCTCACACATGGGCCACAACAACCTACAGCTCATCATTGGGGTGGAAACTAGGAAACCACCTAGTTCAGTTTATGTAATGTTCCCCCTCCTTTCACTCTGAAAATCCATTTCTCCACAGATTTCAATGTACTGTTCTGGGAAGCAGTCAAGAAAACATTAATCCCTAAAGCCAAAACATGGCTTCATTATTATTGTTCCACCCCTCTGTACCAAACTGCCTCCAAGTGAAACCCTCTTGAGCCTTTCAGAGGGAATGAATCAGTTCCATGATAACAATTTTTATGTTATTTCCATGTCTTTTACTTTTTAAAAAAACATTTTTATGATTTTAATATTAACTGTTTTGAAAGCTAGAGCCATCCATTTGTTTGTTTCAGGTCCTCTGAATTTCTATATTAACAAGAGGGAGAGTGCTTCGCTTTCATGCAGTGAATAAACTTCTGTTGTTCTCTCAATTTGTTATATTTCTTTTTTAAACATCTTAAAAATAAATAAATTCAGGATTACTCAGAGTGAGACTTTGATTTGCTGTTTATTCAATGCTGTCGAACTTCCCCAAAGAATGATCTGACAAATCTAACATTGTGGAAAGAATTCAGCGTTGCTAACAGAAACGTTCCTGAATTCCTGACTGCCCAACAGAATGATCTCCCCATCTTCATTTCAGTTCTGGGGGGTTTTCATGACCTGCCCTCTGAGTCAACATGAGTGGGGAGCACAGTAGGAGGAATGGAGAGAAAGTTGTCTTGTGCTGGCAGGAGTCCTTGCTCTGGTTCCCAGTGTGGGCTGTGGACTCTAGCTTCAGTCCCACACCCATGTGCCCCCATCTCTCAGGCTTGGCTATAGTGTGTCTGTCTGTGGCAAGGAAGCCTTTGTGCCTTCACCTCTTTGCATGGAGTCTTCTCCAGATTCTGGAACCCTGTGTGATCTGGAACTCTAACCATTTTGGATACCGTGCATTATTTTACACGCTCGTTCTGATCCATTCTGCTTCTGGCAGAGCTTGTGAGAGTTCCATCTCAGGTTTTTTGTTTTAAATCAAACCCGTATTTTGAAATAGCAACCTCATCTATGTAACCTGCATGAAATCTATCTGCTTTGTCGATATATAAAATCTGCAGGTCTGTCCCAGTTCAGGTTTGAGAGAGGCTTGCAAATAATGGTTCAGGTTTTGTTGCAGTTCAAGAAAATAAAAGTTCATTCTGTGCTTTAGCTCATGTTTGATTTGACACTCCCTCATCCCCAAGCTTACTAGTAAAGCAAAGGGCTTCCTGGAAAAGAGGTGAGAAGAAATGTGGAAGAAGATCAAGATATGTCAGTCTGAAGGCAGCAGTGAGCATATTATTATTTATTTATTATTATTTATTGAATTTATATACGGCCCTATACCCATAGCTGTCAACGTTTCCCTTTTTTAAAGGGAAATTCCCTTATTCCGAATAGGATTCCTCGCAAGAAAAGGAAAAAGTTGACAGCTATGCCTATACCCGGAGGTCTCAGGGCAGCAATGACTGTTATTTAAGAGAACAGGATTCTTTCTGGTCAATGCGGTGGACCAATGTGTGTGTGTGATGGGGTTGGGAGAAGCTAACAAATATATAAAATAATAATAATAATAATAATAATAATAATAATAATAATAATAAATTTTATTTGTATCCCGCCCTCCCCAGCCGAAGCTGGGCTCAGGGCGGCTAACAACAATCAATAATCCAACATTCTAAAAAAAAATTCATTATAAAAATTAATTAAAATCAAATTGATGGCAACCGATAAGCAAAATTCTGTGCAGATTGCCAGAGGAGGGAGTCAGGCTGCGCCCTGACCAAAGGCCTGGTGGAACAGCTCTGTCTTGCAGGCCCTGAGGAAAGATGTCAGGTCCCGCAGGGCCCTAGTCTCTTGTGACAGAGAGTTCCACCAGATTGGAGCCGCAGCCGAGAAAGCCCTGGCTCTAGTTGAGGCCAGCCTAACCTCTCTGTGGCCTGGGACCTTCAGGATGTTTTTATTTGCAGACCGTAAGTTCCTCTGTGGGACATACCAAGAGAGGCGGTCCCGTAGATAAACTGCAGAAGAAATATTGAACACAACTTATTAGGCCTTTTTTGTGAGCAAAGCATTTAATATCCCCCCCCCCCCAGAAATATAGTTTAAATTAGCGATTATAAAAGCAAACCCTATCTCAAAGTACTGTCTCCCCAGAAGAAAAAAATAGCCTTAAATTGTTCTGCAGAGAGTGAACAGATGTTTTTGTTCTTTTAGAAAAAGATAATAAAGAACAGATGTCTTGCAATTACTGTATAAGCCAAGTGTCATTGTTGTTTTTTTATTTCTCCTGTTCCTTCAGGGAAGGCAACTTGGAGAAGGCCACCTATCAAGTTTAATGTATCAAGAGAAACAGCAGTTTGAGAAATCCCCAGGAGGACTTCTCAGCAGCCTAGCCCAATTACATCAGTGCAATTCAAGATGATACTGACTCGAATGGTTTTCAGTATTATGTTTATATTAAAGATTTTAATTGGAAACCAGCGGCTGGTTTTGAAACATGGTGACCAGGCTTCCCTTACATCAGCCTCAGTGTGGATGCAACTTCCTTTTCAAAACAGACTTTAGGTAAGGCAATTGGTAATAGAAGAACAGTCCCACCGTTTTAAGCCTAAGAATAACATAGCTAAAGTGCTTGTTAGAGTGGCACCCATGGGTGCCAGTTTACCTGCCAATACCCCTTACAGGGAGACTCTTGAGAGTCCCATGGACTGCAAGAAGATCAATCCTATCCATTCTGAAGGAAACCAGCCCTGAGTGCTCACTGGAAGGACAGATCGTGAAGCTGAGGCTCCAGTACTTTGGCCACCTCATGAGAAGAGAAGACTCCATGGAAAAGACCCTGACGCTGGAAAAGATGGAGGGCACAAGGAGAAGGGGACGACAGAGGACGAGATGGTTGGACAGTGTTCTCGAAGCTACCAGCATGAGTTTGACCAAACTGCGGGAGGCAGTGGAAGACAGGAGTGCCTGGCGTGCTCTGGTCCATGGGGTCATGAAGAGTCGGACACGACTAAACAACTAAACAACAATAACCTCTTACGGTGCCCAGGAAATGTCTCAGTAAACATCCCTTTTAAAAATCCTATGTGCACCAGAGACTGTTTGCTTTTCCTGCTTAGCTCCTGTTTACATCAGCTCAGCCTCTTCTGCACTGAACACACACCTTAAACGCGCCCACATTTCACTGGATGCCAGGACTGGATGCCCACCCTCCCAGCCATTCTGAATATAGGAGAGGTGCAAAGAGCTTTTCTCTGTGAGTGTCAGGGATCATGCTGAGGAGGAATGGTGGGAGTCTCTGCCTCCCCCTACTCCTGAATCTTCCCAGGAGCAGGAGGACAGTATAGATTTGGTACAGTGGTTTCCAGAGGGGCATAGTTCAGAAGGCAGAAGCTGGGAAATACTGGATGGGGAGCAGCTAGGAGAAGAAAAACTGGGAGAGAGAGTAAACAGATTCACAGTCTCTGAGCATTCCTCCGCTCAGCCCAAGGTCAAGAAGAGCTCAGAAAGTGTCAGCACAGAAAGCACAGAGGGTACAAGCTCAGATTACAAGACATAGTACTGACGTAGATTAATAAGGATGGAAGGGGGTGTAATCCTTAATTGGGAGCACCTCCATTTCTAGGAGATGTATTCTTTGTTCTCTCACTGTGATTATTAAAGTTTCCTAACTGGTAAGACGTTCCTTTCGTTTGATCTTCTTATTTACTGCCACGGGGGGGGGGGGGTGGGGAAGCAAATTCTCCAAAGCCTGACAGTGAGCAACTCTGGTGGTGACTGACATTGGTGCCCTTTTCCTCACTGATGGGGTGGGGGCACTTTGTGGTCCTGTCTCTCTTTCTGATGGTTTGGACATGGCAGCCATTTTGTGTTATGCCACACAGCCACAAGGCTTTCTCAAAATATCAAATTTGCCCACTGGCTCACAGCCCCTGCTATATGGATTACCATACCCTCTGATGAAAATAGGGATGTCCTATTCTATTATTATTATTATTATTATTATTATTATTATTATTTCCCATCCATTTGACTGTGTTTCCACTCTGGGCAGCTCCCAACTTATATAAAGACATAATGAAACATTAAACTTAAAAAAAACAAAACCTTCCCTATGCAGGGCTGCCTTCAGGTGTCTTCTAAAGGTTGTATAGTTACTTATCTCCTTGGCTCAGGGGTCCCATAATTCCATACCCTCCAACATTTCCTTGATGGAAATAGGGACATTCTAACATACTCTCCAACATTTCTCTGACAAAAATAGGGACATCCTAAGGGAAAGGAGGGACGTGGGTGGCGCTGTGGGTTAAACCACAGAGCCTAGGACTTGCTGATCAGAAGGTCGGCAGTTCGAATCCCCGCGAAAAATGGCATTTCCGTGCACTGCTCTGGTTCGCCAGAAGTGGCTTAGTCATGCTGGCCACATGACCCAGAAGCGGTACGCCGGCTCCCTTGGCCAATAAAGTGAGATGAGTGCCGCAACCCCAGAGTCGGTGATGACTGGACCTAATGGTCAGGGGTCCCTTTACCTTGAAGGGAAAGCAGGACTTTGCAGGATCAAATCAGAAACCAGGACAGCTTCTGTACACCTGGGACTGTCTCTGGAAAATAGGAGCATTTGGAGGGTCTGGTATGCAAATTACCTACTGAGGTAATAACTTGAAACTTGTCATACACGATCTACCTGATGAGGTAGCCTAACTTAGCTCACAAAGTTGTTCTGAATGTGGGCAGGGGGTGAGGAAGAAGACCAAAAACAAAATCTTTTGCAAAACAGTTAGAGGATGGAGTGGTTGCTTTTTATAGCGTGATTACATCATACCGTGCTTTTCCTTTATTTCATTTTTCACATGTCCTGTTGTGCGGCAATCACCGTCATCGTCATCTGGAGGAGCAATCCCTTCAGTATAATTTATTGCAGAAGTGTGCACAGAACTTAACTTTATGAGAATGTTTGATGACAAAACTAGCCAATGGAGAGCGCAGCAACTCACAGTTTGTTGCTGTAACAACAAATATTTAGTGTGCCCAGTTTTCTGTCCATTATGAGCCTCATATATAAACACTTCACAATACAATCAGGTTTTGCAATAGCTTTTTAGAAGAAATGATGCAAAGGGCAGTCTTCCATTGTTGCACAACTGAAATCCTGTCTGGGTACGACTTTTGATATATGAGCCCATAGTACCAACAGTGAGGAATGTGCCAAAAGGAAAGGTTAGGTTTTCGAAGGAAGAATTGGGTAACAGCTCCCTGGAGAAATTCTTCAGCATGGGAGGGATTTTTTCTCAATATGGGCTAAGGAGAACGCTCACATTGTTCTGGTTTTAAATCTGTAGGAGAAATTCAGTATCACACTAAAACAAGCATTATGTCAGTGCAAGCGTTTCTGCTTATCTGATAGAATAACCTCCTCTCCCCCATATGTTGTTCTGGGACCCTCCCACTAGAAGCACTACTTTGTTGAATTTGGCCCTCTGAATCTCAGACTTTTTGATGGGCCCATGGCTAACTTAAGCTCCATTTATTTTAATGGGTTTATTCAAAGGGATGTGTATTTGGGTTTCTATGAGGCAAGGCACAGTTATTGCAGCAAGAGACTTTATTTCAAAAATGTATATACCTTGTAACCCTATGGGAGACAGTAAAGTTTAAGATATGCAATAAAGTTAAAAGTAGTTAATACTAACCTTAAAATAAGAAAGCCTATTTGAAATGCCTGCTGAAATAAAAAGGTATTCATCAGGTGCCAGAGGTATCTGTCAGTTTGCATGTCTTAGTACAGAAAATATTGATATGATGTGTAGAGATCTTTCCTAGTCTAATTAATTCAAGAGGGTTCTGGAAGCTTCTCTGTATGAAAGAAACAAGCAGAAGGTTCATGATGTTTGGGTTATTCCTTCAGAGAAGCTGAGTACAGCTGGCTTGAACTGGTGCTGTTATCTCTTCTGTCAAGGTCATGCTGACTACAGTGGTACCTCGGTTGTCAAACATAATCCATTCTGGAAGACCATTCGACTTCCGAAACATTTGACAACTGAGGCTCAAAGAGCGGTCGGCAAAGTCAAGGGAGAAAAAAGAAGCCGTTCAACTTCCAAGGCACGTTCGAAAACGGAAGCAATTGCGTTCAGGTTCTGAAACGTTCAGCTTCCAAGACACTCGAAAACCAAGGTACAACTGTATAAAAATAGGCCAGGAGGAGCCTGGTTTTCACTTTCTCTTTCTATCTCTCTTCCTTCTGGTGTGGTGTTCTGTACATAGTATGCTTGGTGTTAAAGCTTATGATGAGTTATTGTAAGTTTAGGTTAACTCTGCTGCAACTGGATTTCTTATGGACAGTGCCAATCCTGAATGTATTGGATGTGTGACCATTATGCTTATTTGCCTTCAGTAGCAGTAAAGCTCTGCTGGATGAAATACAATTGCCTCTGGTTTATTTTTTAGGAATCCTGCAACGTGTTTAAGTTTTTACTCTGCTAACTATACATTGGAATCTTTTCTGGATCAATATTGAGTAGAATTCCATGACAATATCTTCCCTCTCCTGTCTCCAGGAACCCCAAAAATCAGCACCGGAGAGAGAAAACAAGGTAAGCAGTGGCAAAAATTTGCCACCCTCTTCTTCCATTAGCAGGTGTCTCTGCTGAAGCAAAAATGGAAGAAGCATCCTTTAGATTTCACCCCTGTGCTTAAGGAAAGGTACCCACGGCAGGAGCTGATGAGAGGAGAACCACTTACTCTTAATCTGGTGGGTTTGGCTTCTGAGGAACCAGGAAGCAAAACTCTGAAGGAAGTAAAGGTGCAACCTGAGTCTTCAGGCGTGCATGACAAGAGTGTGTTTCACGTTACGCTGGAAATCTCTCGCAAAACCACAAGAGGTAATATGTCACGAAAGAAGCCTCCGTTAACAGCACCTCTGGTGGACCAGGGTGTTCTTCCTGGCTCCAGAACACAGTGCAGATGAGAGGATCAAAGTTTCTGCACCATACAGCTTTTGGGGTCTTTGACCTGTGATCCCCGGCCAATGGTTTTCAGGGTCAGATCACAGCCCCTGTCACTCGCTGCTCCTTTGTTCTCAAGCAAAAAGGCTTTTGCATGTGCTATTGAAAAGACGAAACAATTGATGACATGCATATGGCCATTTAGTCTTTGAGAACTTCAAATAAATTTACTCCGGCAACTTCAAGTGCAATTCAAGACAGCCACCCTAAAAAAAATGGAAGTGCACTGTTTGCTTAAATGAGCCACCCTCCCAAAGTCCCTTGAAAACGAATTTAGCTGAAGTCACTGGTGTTATGTACTGAAGTTCTCACCCTGGGCCAGCAGGGGGATACTGTAGATAGTTATGCAAATGAAGGATTGAAAGTGACGTTCAGTGATTGGATAGTTTTTGAAAGTTGCTACAATTATGTTGTTCTGGAGCTCTATAGAAGCAGGGTGACTGAGCTCTTCAGTTCGGTTCTATTCTGGCCTCTGAATAAACAAGAGCTGTTGAAGAATCGCTGTGTCGTCTGATATGTTCACCCACAATTTAACAACTACGTTCAGGATGAGCTGTTTTTTTAATCCTAAAATATGAGAACAACTGGGTCTCCAGTAAACAATGAAACGTTACGTGTGTCTTAACAGTTCTACGGAACTGTTGCAAGAAGGTACAAAATGAGTTATTCTGTTGTTAAAAACTATGAAGACTAAAGTCTCCTGTTTCTTATAACGGCAAAAACTGACATATAGATAATGCTGCACACTGGAAATTGAACCATAATTATTTTGATTTCTCCAGAAGCAAGATAAAATCTTTGTCCTGCAGCATCCACCGCCAAATGCTTGACGTCTATGTTTCTGCCTTTTTCATTGATGTAATTTTTCAATTTCCTGTTTGCGTCCAAGCTTGATTTATTTTCCATTGGTTTTTGTATGACTGAGAACGTTTAAAAGCTTGGCACTTGGGCCTCTCTCTCTCTCTCTAACAAATTATTTTGTCTGCATAAGTCTATTTTGCTTTTTGATCACCTCATTGTTTTCTGGAAACAATGAAGCAAATGAGATTGAAAGAACAGCTGTGAACAGCTGGGCTCTTTGACCAGGTGTCTGAGGTTTTGAGCTTCCAGCCTTTTAGAAGTTAGTCATTCTTGGGAGACTCCACAGAATTAAATCCAGATGGACATAGATTTCCCCTGTTGTATAAACTGGGTCAATATAAGGAGTATTTGCTTTACAAGACATTGGAGAAAACTTTAGTTATTATGGAATTAGTAGATATACCACAGATATGTCATGTGGTCAGCCAGATGGGTGCGGTATAAATAACAAATTATTATTACTATTATTATTATTATTATTGCCTGTGGGGTTCTCTGGACCCTATGAACACTACCAGAGTGCATTTTTTCACCATATGAAACTATTCTTTTAATACACAGGGAGCTGTGTGCCCTGTAATAATTGGTCAATGTGTTGTTGTTGTTAATAAACCACCCATCTGACTGGGTTACCCCCAGCCACTCTGGGCAGTTTCCAACAAATTGAAGCAAAGTAAGATGTCAAACATTCAAAACTTCCCTATGGAGTGCTGCCTTTAGATGTCTTCTAAAAGTCAAATAGTTGTTTACATCCTTGACATCTGATGGGAGGGCGTTCAACAGGGCAGGTGCCACTACCAAGAAGGTCCTCTGCCTGGTTCCGTGCAAATTCACTTCTGACAGAGAGGAAAAAGCTAGAAGGCCCTCAGAGCCGGACCTCAGTGTCCAGAATGAATGACGGGGGTGGAGACGCTCCTTCAGGTATGTAGGGCCAAAGCCACTTAGGGCTTTAAAGGTCAGCATCAACATTTTGAATTGTACTTGGAAATGTACTGGGAGCCAATGTAGATCCTTTAAGACTGGTGTTATATGGTCCCAGCGGCTGCTCTCAGTCACCAGTCTGGCAGCCATGTTCTGGATTAGCCGTAGTTTCCAAGTCAGTTTCAAAGGTAGCCCCATGTACCGTGCATTGAAGTAGTCCAAGCGGGAGATAACCAGAGCATGCACCACTCAGTATATACATTACAAGCAAGCAGCCACTGTACCTCTCATGGCTTTTGTTCATTAAAGAAAAAAATCATTACTTTCTGAGATGAGCTGTGACCCCAAATACGGTTTCAGTTGTCCAGCTATGTTCAGATGACCTCTTCCCTTGAGCCCCATGTCAAAACTTCCAAATTAGGTTGGCCATGTTAGGCCTTTTGAAGTCAGCTGACTGGTTCTCCTGTTCCCCACCCTTTGCCACCACAACCCATGGTTAACTGTTTCAAAATGAAATACAGTGGTACCTCGGGTTAAGTACTTAATTTGTTCTGGAGGTCCGTTCTTAACCTGAAACTGTTCTTAACCTGAAGCACCACTTTAGCTAATGGGGCCTCCTGCTGCCGCCACCGCGCCGCCGGAGCACGATTTCTGTTCTCATCCTGAAGCAAAGTTCTTAAGCTGAAGCACTATTTCTGGGTTAGCAGAGTCTGTAACCTGAAGCGAATGTAACCTGAAGCATATGTTACCTGAGGTACCACTGTAGGCCTTTAAAAACCTCTGGCTCTTTATATGTTATGGGTACATTCAGGAAATAGTAGCATGCGAATAATGGCCTATAAAAATTCACTGGCGTCTCTGAGGGCAACTAAAATGCTGCCAATTGTCCAAAGGCAATTGTCTCTTGAAGTCCAATCCAAAACAAATAGCCCGTGGAAACAAGAATGTGGACAGGCCAGACACCATGAGGAAAATCATCGTAGAATGTGATAAAATCAGGCACCTAGAACAGTGGCGGAGATTGTGCCAGTGAACCTGTGTATCTTGCCTTATGAGGAACGGCTGCCTTATGAGGAACGGCTAAGAGAGCTGGGCATGTTTAGCCTGGAGAAGAGGAGGTTAAGGGGTGATATGATAGACATGTTCAAATATATAAAAGGATGTCACATAGAGGAGGGAGAAAGGTTGTTTTCTGCTGCTCCAGAGAAGCGGACACAGAGCAATGGATCCAAACTACAAGAAAGAAGATTCCACCTAAACATTAGGAAGAACTTCCTGATAGTAAGAGCTGTTCGACAGTGGAATTTGCTGCCAAGGAGTGTGGTGGAGTCTCCTTCTTTGGAGGTCTTTAAGCAGAGGCTTGACAACCATATGTCAGGAGTGCTCTGATGGTGTTTCCTGCTTGGCAGGGGGTTGGACTCGATGGCCTTTGTGGTCTCTTCCAACTCTATGATTCTATGATTCTATGATTCTATGATTCTATGATTCTATGATTCTATGATTCTATGATTCTATGATTCTATAAGTCACCCTGTATTTAAACTGTTTATACATGCTCTCTCACACAGTTTAAAGTGGATAATTATCAGAGATAATTAAACATAATTTGAAAAATAGCAACCCAGTGCTGAAACCCCAGTCAGCATCAACGACAGCGGGACCCCCATGGACATGAATGGGATATGGTACAGCAGAAAATACACTCTCTCATGTTCAGAAAATGAACATGGTCAATTTTGCAGAACTACATATGCGGAGAAGCTGAGATTGACTACGGTTGTGCAGTATACATGCCTCGCATTATCTCATGTCGTCTTGCTATGTTTCCAACTTCCATCTGCCCATGTATTTGTTTTGAGCTTCTGACAGGGCCCCCCAACATTTTCAATGAAGGGGCCGTGCTCCCCCGAAGTGTGACGGCGGCCGCGGACGTATGCTGTGGTGCATGGTGACATTGTGTACACACAGTGTGTTGAAGTCGTGCGGCCCTGGGCCCCTGCAATCATGGGGGCAAACTGGAACCGCTGGATAGGCCTCTATGGGTAGCTATCCACATCTGACAATATTTGAACCAACTGGATCACGGGGAGCAGTCATGGAGCCAGAGGTCAGCATCATTGTGAGGAACCTGCTGAGGCACAGGACTCAGTGGGAAGCTCATGGCCAATCCCTGGAGCCCTCCTTAGTGCTGAGGCTCCTCCTCATTGCCCTTGCAAAAGCATCATTCACCTGATGTCACTATGGGATACAGGAATATAAGAATCTGCCTTTAACACCAGTCAGATTAAACCAAATAAACAAGGAATATTCAGTGTTATGTTGTAGGTGATGCCAGAAAACCAGGAATTATGTTCACATGTGGTGGGATTGTAAATATGTTTTAAGGGGGGGGGGCAAATGGTGTTTAACGAGATAACAGAAATCAGTGGGTTAAAGCTGACCGAAAGTCCAGAGGTAGCATTATTATCAATTTACGACGGGGTGAAAGGTTTGCAGGCTATGAAGAACCTGCTCACAAATTTATTGACAGCTGCACAAATTATGATAGCTACAAAGTGGAAGGGGCAAGCAGAATATAAAATGGAAGAATGGTATACAGCGGTGTGGGATATAGCTATTAATGATAGATTAACATGTGCCATTAAGGTAAAACGGGGAATATGCAGGAGAAGTGATTTTGAGGAGATATGGAAGGTGTTTGTAGAATTTGTTGAAACGGAAAAGTGTCAAACCACCGCAAGAGGTGTTGAAATTTTGGGAGGTTGGATAGTTACAATGGCATGGTCTTGGTGGCGGGGTGCACAGTTCTATTCTTATTTATTTGTGATTATTACTTTGTCAAAATAAAATAATAATAAAAGGAAAAAGGAAAGGGAAAAAGAAAAGTCAACAAGAAAGAAAGAACGAACCTTTGGTGTCCCTGGCTTAGTATTATTGTCTACAATGATTGGCGGGGATTCTCCAGAGTTTCAGATAGGGAATGTTCACAGTTCTACCTGGAGATGCTGGAAAGCATCCTGATAGGAAGAAACTGCCTTATCCCAAGCCAGACCATTGGACCATCTAGCTCAGTATTATGGTAGCTCTCCATGGTTCCATCCATACCTGGAGAGGCTAGGAAGTTGAACCAGGGACATCCTATATGAAAGGCATGATGCTCCGCCATTGAACTATGTCCCTTCTCCCAGCTAAGGTGTTTCGATCTTTCTAAAGAAAGAGCAGGTTATTAGTAGGGGATGGGGTGAACTAAATAATAAAGAAATCGCAAGCGTTGCAGATGGATTTCAATTTAATGTTCGTATTCTGCTTTTCTGTTAAGTAACATCGAGCTCAAAGCGGCTCACGATAATGACAGTGCTAAAAATTAACAGTCACAATTGCTATCATAATATCAGAACCGCAGTAGCATGTAAATAAAGCAAAAAAGAAACCCCACAAATTCGTCAAACAATGAATGCAATGTAGCACAAACTCATAGTGATTTGATATATCAGAAATATATATATATATAGTCTCTCTGGGAAGGGACTTCTCCCAGGCAGCAAGATATTCCATTTTTCTTTTCTTTTTTAGCATCGGCTTCTTTTTCAGTCTTTATTGCAATATATCTGTTTGCACACAGTGTCTACAGAATTGTTGTTTTATTAAAAATCTTGGCAATTCAAAAGCAAATGAATAACCTTTCGGAATAATCTTGCCGTTGTTCAGTTTTGTTTCATGAATATTCGTGAATAGTATTTTGCACAGCACGGAATTGCAGTGTGTGTGTGTAAGAATTGAAAAGACAATAATGCAATCTTCCTGCTCAAACACAATTCAGGATAGGTGTGTCCTCCATGGCTCAGAGGGATGGTTCCTCTTCCAGTTTAAGACGGGTTAAGATGGGATCTTTATGGAAGTGATCATTTGAATAGCCGCTATTTTCTCATGAATTGTGTATATACTGCAGATCAAATAGATAAGAATGCACCTCTGAAGCAGGAAATGGTTTATCCACTGCACTTAAACATTTCCTGAGAGGACAGGGCTGTAGCATAAACCATGAACAATAACAGAGGAAAATGGTTTCTCTCTTCAGATACTGAGGAGGGAATAACAGCATTGACCAAAAGCATGTTTAAAATAATGGATTTCTTTCCTAACTGGGGGTGCATATGTTTCTCTCGTTTCGATGGTGAAGGACTTGGCTTGAAAAACCACTTCTGAATGAGTGTGGTCTTATGTTGCCACCTGCTGGTTTGAAACATGCCTTGCAGCTTGTACAGAGTTGATTTGTTCGACTTATATTTGCAACAGCTAATCCTTACTTGATTTTGCACCAGAAGAACAAAACCAGATGAAGACTGTACAAGACACAAATCTTCCCATCTTCTGCCTTGATAAGAGTATTTGCCTTCACCTTCACCTTCACCTTCACCCTGGCCTGGGCCAGGGCTTTCGCGTTCGCCATCACCTAGGCCCGTTCTTTCATCTTTGCCTTCGCCTTGGACTGGCCCTTTGTGTTCGCTTTCGTCTTTGTCCTGACCCGGGTATATAACTTTGCCTTGGCCCTGGCCTTTGCCTTTGCCTTCTCCCTGGCCCAGGCCTTCACCTTCACTTTCACCCTGACCCAGGCCTTTGCCTTTTCGCTGTTTGCCTTTTGCCCTTTGCCTTTTGCCCTTTGCCCTTTGCCTTTTGCCTTTTGCCTTTTGCCCTTTGCCCTTTGCCTTTTTCCTTTTGCCTTTTGCCCTTTGCCCTTTGCCCTTTGCCTTTTTCCTTTTGCCTTCACAATGGCCTGGGATTTCGTCTTTGCCTGAGCCTGTGCCTGTGCTTTTTGCCTTTTGCCTTTTGCCTTTTGCCTTTTGCCTTTTGCCTTTTGCCCTTTGCTTTTTGCCCTTTGCCCTTTGCCCTTTGCCCTTTGCCTTCTGCCTTCTGCCTTCTGCCTTCTGCCTTCTGCCTTCTGCCTTTTGCCTTTTGCCTTCACAATGGCCTGGGATTTCGTCTTTGCCTGAGCCTGTGCCTGTGCTTTTTGCCTTCTGCCTTCTGCCTTCTGCCTTAAGTTAAGTCTACTGCAACTGGATTTCTTATGGACAGTGCCAATCCTAAAATTATTGGACTTGTGACCATTATGCTCATTTGCATTCAGTAGCAGTAAAGCTCTGCTGAATGAAGTATTAATTGCTTCTGGTTTATTTTTGGGAATCCTGCAACGTGTTTAAGTTTTTACAATGCTAACTATACACTGGAGTTCTGCTCTAGATCAATATTGAGTAGAAGTCCATGACACAGGGGCCATGGTCATGCCATATGGGAGTTGTAGTCCATCACATCCAGAGAGCATCAGGTCAAAGAACATTGTCCTATGCCATGAAACTGAGCCCCAGGCACAAGGGGACAGGATTAGCTCCCATCTCACCAACGCCCATGAGTAAACTATTCACTGTCAATGGCTGCCACAGCCAGTGATACGAGGAAAATGTAAGGGCAGCAAAAAATGCCCTGATTTGATACAGCATGGTCTAGGTTGCATTAGGAGCAAGGCCCATGGTGGGGTGCAAAGTGCTCAAATTTACAGAATTTGTCACCCTAAGAAGCCCCTCAAATTTATGGGACATATCTGCATCCTAATAACAAATCCCCCATTCTTGTATTTGTAAAAGCCAAAATGGAAGGAAAAGGAGGAAAGACTGCCCTTTTATTATTTATAAATTGAAAATCATATTTTAAATATTTTTATTATTATTTTATCCCTTGTACATTGCTGCGCTTGGCTCATTTGGGAGGAATTATAAATTTAATAATAAAAATAAAAATGAATGAATGTTTACCTCAGCTTTTACATTGACAAAATGCCCCAGGCAGCTTACAAAAGAGCAACACATTCACAAGAGCAGTAATAAAAAGGCTGCTGCGAGGAGTGGATTGGAGCACTAAAATCAAATTTTAGCAAAACAGTAGAATCACATTCCTTGTATGCATAGATACAAGAGAAATTAAGGGCCCCAGATGTTGTCTTTAGAATCCGGATGGTGCAGTTACTGACTTCATTTTGGGCCAAGTTGGTGTTTTTGTTTCCTTGCAATCATCCCTCCCCCAACCCACACCCTGTTCTTAGAGTAGATTAAATTTTGAGTCTGTTAACCTTGATCCTTAACTTTCCAATAACTTTAGAGTCAAAATAAAACTTCTGGGTTACGAACTAAACATCACTGCAGTGCCTTCCCTACAGTGGTAGGGTCTGAAATTTCTAAGGGCATGCAATACATCTCTGGAATGGACCTTCTTTTTAAACAGCCATAAAGCTTTTGATACTTCAAGGATCATGCTATGTAATTACAGGAGTTACTTTTTATAAATCAGTGGCAGATATCCTTCATTTTACTGAGTTTCTAAGGGACAATAACGGCCATTTCTGCCCCCTCATCTGCAGTGTTTGGATGCCCAATCTGTTTCTTTCTGTTGCAGCATATGGTATAAGCACATTCACCAGAGTCATTTTGATGATTTAGGATATGCATCACTTGTCTCCCATTCGTATAATGTACTTTACCCCGCCATTGCCCTTTGCTTATGGGTTAGAGTCCCAGCTTCTGGGGAAGTGAGGGTTGAGCAAGGACATTGTTGAAGTTGAAGTCTTTTATTTGGCAATTCCACTTTGCACCTGTTTTCACCTTCACCCCCATGTCCGTGCCTCTCTCTTCCTCTTGTGCTACCTCCCTTGTATACAAACCACCTCCAAGGTACCTCCAGCATCTTTCTCCTCCCACTCAATGCAACTACTAACCACCCTAAGCATAGCCTGAAGGAGCGTCTCCACCGCTATTGTTCAGCCCATACCCTGAAGTCCAGCTCTGAGGGCCTTCTGGCGGTTCCCTCACTGTGTGAAGTAAAGCTACAGGGAACCAGGCAGAGGGCCTTCTCGGAAGTGGCATTCCCTGTGGAATGCCCTCCTGTCAGATGTCAAGGAAATAAACAACTATCTGACTTTTAGAAAACATCTGAAGGCAGACCTGTTTAGGAAGTTTTTAATGTGTGATGTTTTATCGTGTTTTGAATATTCTGTTGGGAGCAGCAAAAGTGGCTGCAGAAACCCAGCCAGATGGGAGGGGTATTATTATTATTTTTAAGAATAAGAATAATTCAACTGGGAATGTATAACTTCACAAAAGTTATCCAGTCCTATCAGGTGTGGCCCTGATTTCAGTGAGTTTGGTACTCATGGTCCTTCATCTCCCAGGTCCTTCTCAAGAACCTCTATGACGCTGCCTCATACTGAGCCAGACCTCTGCTTAGTATTGTCTACACTGATGACAGTGTCCAAAACCTCCAAGTGTCCCTATTTTCCATGGATGATCCTGGATTTACAGAAGCCACCCAGCTTTTCCTTAGGACATCCGTATTTTCAACAGAGAAACATTGGATGGCATGGTAGGAGGTCCCTATTTTCATTGGAGAACTGTTGGTGGGTATGGTAGGGCTGCCATATGTCCTGAATTTCCTGGACATATGGCAGATGGAAACAGTGTCCAGGCAGAAATGTCTGGCAAGTCTAGATTTTCCTTAAGAAAAACCCAAAACTTCATGTTTGTTTGTGTTTTTGAAGTTTTGCCCCCCAAAAAGCACAACTTTTGTGTCCGGATTTTTCACTTTTTGAAATATGGCAACAAATTTTCTCTCTTTGAAATAGGACGTCCCTCTTTTCATCAGAGAATTGTTGGAGGGGACATCTCTATTTTCATCGGAGAAATATTGGAGGGTATGGACTAGGACATCCCTATTTTCATCAGATAAATGTTTGTGAGTGAGGTGTCTTACGTAAAGGTCTTTCTCAGCTTTCCCTGAAGATGACAGAAAATGAATCTGGATCTTCTCCATGCAACAAATATGCTCTTCCACTGAGCTACACAGCCCCTCCTCTCTAATCCTAGACTACTCAGCTAGACTACTCAGCACCTCTGGGACATCTCTATCTGCCCAGGCTCATTGTGACATCATAGTATATCAACCGCCCATGGCTGGATGATGCTCATTCAGCAGCTTAGCAACTGCAGATACCATATTTGTAAGCAAGCAAATGAAAATTAATAATAATAATAATAATAATAATAATAATAATAATAATTTATTATTTATACCTTACCCATCTGGCTGAGTTTCCCCAGCCACTCTGGGCGGCTTCCAATCGAGTGTTAAAAAGAATACAGCATTAAATATTAAAAACTTCCCTAAACAGGGCTGCCTTCAGATGTCTTTTAAAGATAAGATAGCTGCTTATTTCCTTCACATCTGAAGGGAGGGCGTTCCATTGGTCTGGCACCAAGACACTGGTCTGGCACCAAGAGAACTGTTGGAGGGGACATCTCTATTTTCATCAGAGAAATATTGGAGGGTATGGATTAGGACATCCCTATTTCCATCAGATAAATGTTGGTGGGTGAGGTGTCTCACATAGAGGTCTTTCTCAGGCTTACCTGAAGACGACCGAAAATGAATCTGGGAATCTGGGATCTCCTTCATCTCCTGAGATACAGCCCCTCTTCTCTCTAATCCTAGACTACTCAGCTAGACTACTCAGCACCTCTGTGACATCTCTATCTGCCAAGGCTCATTGTGACATCATAGTATATCAGTCCAGCCCATGGCTGGATGATGCTCATTCAGCAGCTTCGCAACTGCAGATACCATATTTGTAAGCAAGCAAATGAAAATTATTATTATTATTATTATTATTATTAATAATAATAATAATTTATTTATTTATTTATTTATACCCCACCCATCTGGTTGAGTTTCCCCAGCCACCCTGGGCGCCTTCCAATCGAGTGTTAAAAAGAATACAGCATTAAATATTAAAAATTTCCCTAAACAGGGCTGCCTTCAGATGTCCTTTAAAGATAAGATAGCTGCTTATTTCCTTCACATCTGAAGGGAGGGCGTTCCACTGGTCTGGCGCCAAGAGAACTGTTGAAGGGGACCATCTCTATTTTCACTGGAAAAATATTGGAGGGTATGGACTAGGACATCCCTATTTTCATCAGATAAATGTTGGTGGGTGAGGTGTCTTACATAAAGGTCTTTCTCAGCTTTCCCTGAAGATGACAGAAAATGAATCTGGGATCTTCTCCATGCAACAAATATGCTCTTCCACTGAGCTACACAGCCCCTCCTCTCTAATCCTAGACTACTCAGCTAGATTACTCAGCACCTCTGTGACATCTCTATCTGCCAAGGCTCATTGTGACATCATAGTATATCAGCCGCCCATGGCTGGATGATGCTCATTCAGCAGCTTAGCAACTGCAGATACCATATTTGTAAGCAAGCAAACGAAAACACTGGTCTGGCACCAAGGTGACTCGGGTTCAAATTAATTCCCTGTTAAGTGTGAGCAATGTGCTACTTTTATGGCTGGAAAGTACCTGCATACTCAAGCAAACACTGAACAGGACAATGGAGCGTTCAGAATAACAGTGCTCTAGTCAAAGTACAAAACACTATACGCAGACAGATCTAAGTCTACAGTTCCCAGGGCCTTTTATTTTTTTTTAATGCGCTTGAAGTAAATAGAAGAATAATCATAATAATCATTGCTGAGAAACAGGATTCTGACTTCATAAATGTGAACAATAGAGCAGGCACAGGCTTAATAACAAAGAAAAGATGCAGGTCAAGTCACAAAGGATACTAAAGATGTAAATTTTCTATTATTATTAAAAGTCTGCTATTTATCATCTTCTTCTCCAATGAGAAATATGTACAGGAAACATTCCCAATGTATTATGTCCAATGAATTTCCTTCATGATCTACATACCGCACAAGTGTCCTGTTTTAACTGGGACATCCCAGAATTACAGGAACCACCCTGGCTCCTGATCCCATCCTGGGATGTCCTGGGATTTCAGCCAACGGGGACCAAAAGACATGAATCTCTTGCTTCTGCACTCTATTGGCTCTGCACCTTCTCTTGCTGCCCAGAATCTGCCGGTCAGTCTTCTGTTGCCCATTGCCAGAGCCGCACAAGGAGGGCCTCAGTGGTGTACTTCTGGAAGCCAGATGGCAGCAGTTAGCAGGTGAGTGGACAGGTGGTGTCAGCAAGCCAGCAGATGGGGGGGGCAGCAGGATGGTGATAGTGGGGTCCTGATTGGCCCTCCTGAAATGTCGACGGTATGGATCTATCAGCCACCTTACGCTTCTCCAGATTTTTAGAATAGGAACTGAAGCTTGTGTAGAAAGGGTGTCAACTGAATGATATTCCTTATCAGAAAGCATAATAAAAAAAGACTACCATAATCACCTAACAACTTTCCTTCCCCCAGTTGCAGAAGGAATGGGAGAATGTGGATGCTGAGTTCTCCTGCAGGCCCTGAAGACTGAACAAGATGCCCAGCCTACCTGTATGTTGCCCTGTGGGACAAATAGAGATTGAATGACTTCCCCAAGGTCATACAGAAAAGCTTGTGGTGGAAACAGGACAGGTTTGCCAGAAGCCCCATTCTATTCTAGTATATAAGCCCTCTCATTTCCTTAAAATGCATCTATGATATTTCCCTGAACCTGCTTAATCCTTTCACTGTAAGCTGCTGAAGCTTTGCTTATATGAAGCAGGAGCCTGTTGCAATAATGCTTATGGCTGCTGCTGCTGCTGCTGCAGGAATGAACTCTTGATTCTCAGTAGAGTTCCTGCGATTAGCATGAGTGTGGCTTTAGTATCGCAGTTCCCACAGTGCCAGATCTGTGACCAAAAGAATCAGAGAGTCAGCAAGCTATCATGCCAAGTCTCAAGCAGAGCCCAGTGAGACATATTGTAGGAATATTCCCAAGCAATATAGTCAATAATCTGGGATGGTGGGAATTGTAGATGATGATGATGATGATGATGATGATGATGATGATATGCCACCCATCTGACTGGGTTTCCCCCAGCCACTCTGAGTGGCTCCCATCAAAATATTGAAAACACAAAACAGCATCAACCATAAAAACTTCCCTAAACAGGGCTGCCTTCAGATGTCTTCTAAAAGTCAGGTAGTTGTTTATTTCCTTGGCATCTGAAGGGAGGGCGTTCCACAGAGTGGGTGCCACTACCGAGAAGGCCCTCTGCCGGGTTCCCTGTAACCTCACTTCTCGCAGAAGGCCCTCTGAGCTGGACCTCAGTGTCCAGGCAGAACGATGGGGGTGGAGACACTCCTTCAGGTATACTGGGCCAAGGCCATTTAGGGCTTTAAAGGTCAGATGCCAGGGACTCTGCTGGGGAGGGCTGCACTGAGGAGGAATAGTGGGAGTCTCCCCCCCCCCTTGCTCCTAATCTGGATCCTGAATCTTCCCAGGAGCAGGAGGACAGTATAGATTTGGAATAGTGGTTTGCAGAGGGGCATAGTTCAGAAGGCAGAAGCTAGGAAATATTGGATGGGGAACATCTAGGAGAAGAAACACTGGGAGATAGAGGGTTAACAGATTCACGGTCTCTGGAAAGCATCCATCCACTCTCCCCAAGGTCAAAAAGAGCTGAGAAAATGGCAGAACAGAAAGCACACAAAGCACAGATGGGACAGGCTCAGATTACAAGACGTAGAAGTGATGTGGGTTAATAAGGACGTAAGGGGGTGGGATTCTTAATTGGGAGCACCACCATTTCTAGGAGATGGTTCTTTGTTCTCTCACTGTGATTATTAAAGTTCCTAACTGATAAGAAGACTCCCTTCCCTTTGTTCTGCTTATCTACTGCCACTGGGGAAGGAAACCAATTTCCTGAAGCCTGACACTGACACCAACACCAACACTTTGAATTGTGCTTGAAAACGTACAACACTTTGGTCCTCCTAGTTGAGACTATAAATGGTAACTGCACCTAACTTGTATATAGTGGAACACTGCGCAGAATTTTCACAGGCTGCATTTCGTGGCACCTTGGCCATGATGTTCACATTTCCTTTTCCTGTATACCCATATTTGTGTGGGTATCTTTTTGTATATAATACCTTCTGGCTAAGGATAACATGCCGTGCATTTAATGGCGTGGGCTGTAGTCCAAGTACAGTTATGCCACAATAAATCTGTTTGTCTCCCTATGCCACACAATCCTTTGCTTCTTTTTTTGACTGCGCCAGACTAATACATCTAACCCCCTCTATAATGCGTCCCTTTTAAAATCAGCAGTCTTAAGCACCAATGTTCTTACAGTGCTGATAACAGACAACGGGAGACTGTCTGGCAGCTAATCCCATCCTATCCTATCCTTTACCTGTCTTGCTGAGCTATTGTCCTGCATATGGCACACCCAGACTGCTGACGTCTTTGCTTCTCTCCTTCCCTTCCTCTTCCCACTAAGCTTTGGTGGATTTCTTTCTCTATATCCTCCAGCTATTCTTAGCAGCCCCACTGCGATCTGCTGGCAAAAGCAGCTAAACCAATCAACCTGTCTTGTTAATGATGATGACTAACCACCACCACCCCAGTCAACACAGTGGGTTGGTGTGATCAGCTGGAATTGTTAACAGCCCAGTGCAACAGTTCTGATAAGTTGTTTTTTAGGGAGTTGTTTTGCTTCCTTAGCAGGTTGGTCCAGATCCCTGCACAGATATGAAACCAACAAGATCAAGTTTAGCAAAGATATACAGGTCCCGCTTTCTGAGCACAATGCATTCCCAGGAAATCATTCCTTAGGTGAGTGTTCACATAACGAGTCAATGATTTCCATTGATTTCTATAGGGAAATTTCTAATGTGTTCCCGACTGTGGAATATTGACCTCAAAATAACAAAAAGCAAAGACAAAACAGGAAAACCCTCTGAAACTTTGTGAAAGGCAAACAATGAAGGGGGGGAAGGCTCTCTTGTTTGTCCAATCTCTCCCCCTTCCTCCCCACTCCCTCCTTCCATGGTTTCTGGCAAAATGGCTGCTGTGGACCACAAAAAGGCATGGCTTGTTTAAGGCCGCTTGTTTGTTTATAGTACTACACACGCCTTGGACAGGCCTGAATCATCCCTTTGAACCAGTAAATAAATCCAAAGTTGTGCTATCTCTGAATACGAGGCTGTGTGCATCAACAGTAGTTATTTCTCACAAAAGACTGCACTTCCAGTTATGACCACCAGATGGCCTATGAATAAAACACTCATTACCTGAAGTGCACATCCCCAAGTAAAGTGAATGGTTTTGAAACGGCATATATAGCATTCATTTTCAGCAGGTAAATTAGGTCTTAAACCACACCCGGGGATCAGCTTGACTTAAGGAGGACTGCAAACAGCAGTGCCACCACTGTACAAGTATATGGGGGGGTGTAATAATGAAAAAGCGGACCCCCTCAGTGTGGTCCTATGTGCAAAATGTTTGAAGACTACTGTTCCAAAGAAACTCAGAAGAGAACATAGCTAGCTTATCAATGAATGAGTCCTCTAGAACTGGTTTGACATTCTCCTTTTATGTGAGATTTTATAGCCACACAAGAGAATGGGGTTCTTTGAAGGGCTTGTCTACACTTCTACTCGTCTACCCACTGCCCCCCAGGGAAAACCTGCTTTTTTAAATCACCAAATCCAAGTAAATGTCAATCAGGTTTTCCATGGATTGTTGTTTGCTCTGATTCAGCAGCAAAGAGCAGGTTTTGTTGGGGAAAGTGGAGGGAAACCTCTTATGCCAATGCATGGGTACCAATGCATCCCAGAAATGTGGATGAAGCCTGATGGGTGTTATTGTTTGATATGGATTTAATTGGGACTTTTTAGTCAGCATTGCTAAATGGCGTTGCTTTCGTTCCATGATAGCTTATTTGTATTAAAAATTCAAACGCATCAATAATAACCATTTTGCATGTATTACTAGCTAGAAGCCAATGATGTCAATATGCATTTCATTCCTAGAGATGGGGGAGAAATTTGGTTCGAGTTTGAACATGAGCCTACCAACTTTCTGAAACAATATTTGAACCACAGCAAAGCCAAACTTAAAAATTCGCACTTTTCTGAATTTTGCAATTCTGTTCTCCAGCCACATAACAAATACAAACGTGATTGCGCTAGGGCAGGCATAGGCAAACTCAGCCCTCCATATGTTTTGGGACTACAACTCCCATCACTCCTAGCTAATAGGACCAGTGGTCAGGGATGAGGGGAGTTGTAGTCTCAAAACATCTGGAGGGCCGAGTTTGCCTATGCCTGCACTAGGGTAAAGGGTGCATAAAAAGGCATATGTTGGTGAAAATAGCATACAGAAAGCACTATATTAGGGGAAATAGCCTTAATGTGTATATTAGAAAAAAAATGAATACGAACACCTGTATATTGGAACAAACTGGTGAGTTTTCATGAGGACCTTTTTTTTTTTTTAAAGGAACTTACATGAAAATGTGGGGGAACTGCACTAAAGGTTGGAAAACTGAAAAGCTGAGAGAATCCAAACTTGTCTGATTCGCCTATTTCTCCTCATTCCTTTGTCTGGTGTCTGAGAGGCTCTGATTAGAAGATTCGTGATTTCCGAATTAAATTGTATTCAGCACCAAACTAATGAGACAGCCCACAAATAAGCCTTTGTGGAAGCAGGTCCCTCTGGAGGCAAATGGAGCACCTTTCACTGTGAGATGCATTGCTTGAGGCTCAAACATTTTGTTTTCCGTCCTGAAACAACCTACGCCTAATGCTCAATTTCACTAAGTTCCTCTGACCCTGCCCTTGCACTGCAAAGAAGCTTATACTTACACCGGCTTTAGAGCCCCCTTATGACCTCTGGCAGAGACAAGGAAACGATTCCATGCAAACCACCCCAATTCTGTTATTTGCATACTGGGCATCAGCACCTAGCATGGTGGGGCAAATGCCAGGGCCCATGGGCACATAATGGCAGCAGCCAGAGCAGCTTCTTCTTCTTTGGCGATCACTCGTAGCTGAGTAAGATCGTCTTCCATGAAAACAGTTTAACAGTGAGTCCGTAAGTGTCTGTGGAGGGCAATTCTGGATCCACACGTCCTTCCACAGTGGGAAAATAGGTTTCCAGGCAGGAGTTGATCACGGTGAGGGTTTTCCAAGTGTGCCTTCCTCTTAGCACGTGTCTCCCTTTCATCCTGAGTTCGAGTGTCTTCAAAGCCCATGACACCTTTGGTAAAGGCTGTTCTCCAACTGGAATGTTCGCAGGCCAGTGTTTCCCAGTTGTCAGTGTTTATACTACATTTTTTTAGATTTGCCTTGAGAGAGTCTTTGAACCTCTTTTGTTGACCACCAGCATTACGCTTCCCATTTTTAACTTCAGAATAGAGTATAGTTGCTTTGGAAGACGATAATCAGGCATCCACACAACATGACCAGTCCAACAAAGTTGATGCTGAAGAATCATCACTTCGACACTAGTGATCTTTGCTTCTTCCAGTACACTGGCATTAGTTTGCCTGTCTTCCCAGGTGATGTGTAAAATCTTTCGGAGACACCGTTGATGGAATCATTTGAGGAGTTGGAGATGGCGTTTATAAGGGGTCCAAGTTTCACAAGCATTCAGTAACGTTGGTAGAACAATAGCTTTGTAAACAAGCATTTCGGTTTCCCTGCGAATGTCCCGGTCCTCAAACACTCTACACTTCAATCGGGAGAAAGCTGCATTCGCAGAGAAGAAGAAGAGGAGGAGGAGGAGGAGGAGGAGTTTGGATTTGATATCCCACATTATCACTACCCGAAGGAGTCTCAAAGCGGCTAACATTCTCCTTTCCCTTCCTCTCCCACAACAAACACTCTGTGAGGTGAGTGGGGCTGAGAGACTTTAAAGAAGTGTGACTAGCCCAAGGTCACCCAGCAGCTGCATGTGGAAGAGCAGAGACGCGAACCCAGTTCACCAGATTACGAGTCTACTGCTCTTAACTCAAGCGATGCTGGATTTCGGCATCAATGTCGGCCCTTGTGGGAAGATAACTGCCCAGTTAGGAGAAGTGATCGACATTTTCCAGTGGAGCAGCACTCAGCAGAGCACAGCAGTGGACTGGAAAGTAGCTTTGTTACTCTTGAATGGCCTTGGGCATCCCTTCTGCAGATTGATCTTCAGTGCCGCACCACCAGGATCCAGGATCTACGTGGTCATCTTCTGTGCTCTGCCTGTGGGCGGGACTCACCCTTTCTCATCCAGCCAGTCCCTGACATCACCGCTGCCTACTGGAGCTGCAGGCAGAGTGTGACTGGTTTGCCTATACCAGATGTAGAGCCAAAAAGGGCACTGCAACAATGACAAACAACAAGAGGTGAGAGGCAGAGGGCACCAAATTTTGGTGCTGCTGAAATTTGAAAGCCTTAAGTCTGCAACTGCAACTGCTGCAGTGGCAGGGATAGAGGCACCAGAGAAATACCCAGAGAAGCAGCTGTAGAAGCCACTAGGATGGGACAGGGTGGGAATACAGAAGGCAGCTTGTGCAAGGCCTCCTCAGATGTTGTCTAGCTTCTATACTTACTCACACTTCCATCCTCCAGCCAGGCAAGGAAGAGGCATTGCCAGAGTTCAAGGACACAGTTCAGCCAGGGAAGGAGGGCGCAAAGCAGGGCTGGTGAGGGATGAGGCCTGCGGAAAGGGGGATTGGCCTGGTGAAGAGTCCCATCATGGGCCAGATAAAGAGTGCTTGAGGGCCTTATTGCATTTAGAGATACAGTGAGGTCAAGGGTACATTATTTCATATGTGGTGGACCTGTATAAGGGTAAAAGACCATTGGGAAATAATTTATAATGAATTGGGGGCGGGGATATTTAAAAGCACCTTTAAAAAAACACCCAGAGTCCTTTTTGTTGGGGATAATTCAGATGGAAATTCCCGGGTGTCAACAAAGGTTATTTATGTATGCCACTACGGCGGCCCATGTTTTGTTAGCCCAAAAATGGAAAATGAGCGAGGTCCCAACCAAGGAAGAATGGCAACTTAAAATGACGGAATATGGGCAGCTTGAGGACCTAACATACAGTGGTACCTCGGGTTACATACGCTTCAGGTTACAGACTCCACTAACCCAGAAATATTACCTTGGTTTAAGAACTTTGCTTCAGGATGAGAACAGAAATTGTGCTCCGGCGGCGTGGCAGCAACAGGAGGCCCCATTAGCTAAAGTGGTGCTTCAGGTTAAGAACAGTTTCAGGTTAAGAACGGACCTCCGGAACAAATTAAGTACTTAACCCAAGGTACCACTGTATAGAATAAGAGAAGACGAAGAAGAAGAGTTTGGATTTGATATCCCGCTTTATCACTACCTGAAGGAGTCTCAAAGCGGCTAACATTCTCCTTTCCCTTCCTTCCCCACAACAAACACTCTGTGAGGTGAGTGGGGCTAAGAGACTTCAGAGAAGTGTGACTAGCCCAAGGTCACCCAGCAGCTGCATGTGGAGGAGCGGGGAAGCAAACCCGGTTCCCCAGATTATGAATCTAGCGCTCTTAACCACTACACCACACTGGCTCTCCAGAAGAACATTTGTTTAAAGAAGATTGGAAAATGTTTATTGAATATATGAGGGGAAATTGTGTACACTTGAAAATGTTGGCAGCATTAAGATAAATTCAACAGTGTGAATAAGTTTTGATAGAAGTAATAATGGAATACTGAATGGTTTAGTTTATATATAAAATATGCAGGGATTTATGTGATGCAAAATGAACCATGGAAAGAGAAAAAGGAAAGACATTGATATTTTAAGGTTGTCTAAATGAATATTCTAAATTGTAAAACATAAAAATTCATAAAATTGATATATTAGGAAACAAAGGGTGCTTGAGGGCCCCATTTGGCCTCTGACACTGAGGTTTCCCACCCATCAATGTAAGTTACTGTCATTATCTCCCGTTTTGCAGACGAAGGTACTGAGGCAGACAGAGTTGTTTGCAAAAGGCCACCTAGTGAATTCAGAGAAGATTTGAGATTTGAACTTGGGATTGCCTGATTCGTAGCCCAGTGGTTTCATCCGTTCAATATTCCCAAAAGTATATTCGATTGCAGGACCAGGAAGAAAAGGAGAAGATCTTCTTTGTGTATCTACTCTACAGATTGTAACCTGCGCCAAACTTTTTTAAAATGTCCCGACCTGGGAACTGTAGTTTTATGGTGTTCTGGGCACCTTGAAGAAAAGAGATGCAGCACTCTCCCTCTTAAAAAGACAATTCCTAAGATCCTTTGAGGGAAGTAGTTATAAAATGTGCAGTACAAACAGTGCCAGCCCAAGACGTTTTGCTCACCTTGGGGTTTTGTTTTCTAATAAATCCTTGTATCTTATCCAAACATTAAACAGCGCTTTCCTGACAATGTGGTTTTTAAATGCTTTATGTGCTTTGACCTTATCATAGCATAGATATGCATGCCATCCAAATACATTGTTAAAACCTTCTAGGTCCAAAATGTCAGTGTTTTCAAGAAGCAGCCATTCTTTCAACCAGCAAAAAGCTGCTGATTCATAGTAAAGTTTGAGGTCTGGCAGGGCAAATCCACCTCTTTCCTTTGCATCTGTTAATATTTTAAATTTTATTCTGGGCTTCTTGCCCTGCCAGACGAATCTAGAAATATCTTTCTGCCACCTCTTGAAACAATCCATTTTGTCCACAATTTGCAAAGTTTGAAACAAAAACAACATTCTAGGCAATACATTCATTTTTATCGCAGCAATACGGCCCAGCAGTGAAAGCTTCAAATTTGACCAAATTTCTAAATCTTTTTTCACTTCAGCCCAACATTTTTCATAGTTGTCTTTAAACAGATTCCCATTTTTTGCTGTCATGTTAATCCCCAGGTATTTAACTTTCTTAACCACAAAATGAAAACTGTTTTAACCTGGCACCTGTGGCTGAGCAGGAACGGTGCCTGCCTGGAAGACTTCCGGGTTAGCGCCTCCGGCAATGGCGGATTTCCTCTGATCGGGAGGAATCCGCTTCGTGAGAATTAGGGTCTGGACTGCCAGGGCGAGGCGGAGACCCACCAAAAACCACAGGCGGGAGAAGCCTGTGGACGTGGGATTCGGCTGCCACCTTCTGCGCCTCCCCTACTCGCGGGGAAACCCGGTTTCGGGGATCCGGAGTGACGTGGGGCGAATGGCGCGGTGCTTTGAATCGACTGCTCTTTTCACAGAGTGAAGCCGCATTGCTGTTGCCGGAGAGCGCTGACTTTTCCTGTGAACAATTGGATTTTAAACAACTGCCCATGAGTAGAATGGAAAATCGGACTATGAAACTTCTTAATTTGGCACTGAAGCGGGAAGGTCTAAACAGGAAGTCCGCCTTCCGCTTTTGTAAATAGATTGAAGCAAAGACATTGCAAGCTAGAGTCTGGAAAGTCGTTTGTAAAGGACTAAATTTCCATCAGTTAAAATTACTAAACCCCCCTTGGAAGCAGGAGAAGAGGGGGGAAATCTTAGACTGTTTAAACCTGCAGAAGAGAGAGTAAAGAAAGATAAATTTCCACCGTCTTGAACCTGGGAGCAGGGTGTCAGAGACAGACGTTTTGGGGAAGTTCATTGACTGTGGATAAAACGTCTTTTGACAGTTAAAAAAGAGAAACATTTTGATTCCAATGTTCCCT